CCCATCCCTCACCCCATACCTCACCCCTCTCCTCACTCCATCCCTCACCCCATACCTCACCCCTCTCCTCACTCCATCCCTCACCCCATACCTCACCCCATCCCTCACCCCTCTCCTCACTCCATCCCTCACCCCATACCTCACCCCATACCTCACCCCTCTCCTCACACCTCTCCTCACTCCATCCCTCACCCCATCCCTCACCCCATCCCTCACCCCATACCTCACCCCTCTCCTCACCCCATCCCTCACCCCATCCCTCACCCCATCCCTCACACCTCTCCTCACCCCATCCCTCACTCCATCCCTCACTCCATCCCTCACTCCATCCCTCACTCCATCCCTCACCCCATCCCTCACACCTCTCCTCACCCCATCCCTCACCCCATACCTCACCCCTCTCCTCACTCCATCCCTCACCCCATACCTCACCCCATCCCTCACACCTCTCCTCACCCCATCCCTCACCCCATACCTCACCCCTCTCCTCACTCCATCCCTCACCCCATACCTCACCCCATCCCTCACACCTCTCCTCACCCCATCCCTCACCCCATACCTCACCCCATCCCTCACCCCATACCTCACCCCTCTCCTCACCCCATCCCTCACCCCATCCCTCACCCCATCCCTCACACCACTCCTCACCCCATCCCTCACCCCATACCTCACCCCTCTCCTCACTCCATCCCTCACCCCATACCTCACCCCATCCCTCACACCTCTCCTCACCCCATCCCTCACCCCATACCTCACCCCTCTCCTCACTCCATCCCTCACCCCATACCTCACCCCATCCCTCACCCCTCTCCTCACCCCATCCCTCACCTTAGGCCTAAATCTAACCATTAGCAAAATGTCCTCACTTAACAACAACTGTTCCTCATTGTGATGGTAAAATTGGAAAAATGGTCCTCACTCTGATGTACCCCCCCCCCCCAAAACACACACACACACACACACACACACACACTCACACACACTCACACACACGAAGCAGATGGGACTTTTGTGTTTGACACTTTTTTCCTCGACACTTTAAATGACGTTTTAGAGTCAAGCTAATAGCAAAAGCAAACAGCTTGTCAGAGACGTGATGTGAGGCGGAGGTTTGCCCTGTCTGGACCGGCTGCAGCTCTCCTTTATTAGCCACGTCACGGGTTAATGGGAGCATCGATTTCTATGTCTGCCAGCCGGCACAACAACTTAGTTTAGACTGAAAGATGACAAAGGCATATCTTTTTTTTTTCTTCTAAGAAAGAGGAAAATCTCCATGTTGAGGAAAACTTTAGAGATTTTTTTCCATTTCCTTCACTGGGGGTCAGGATAAAAGAATAATCATATAATTACATCCCATGGAGGGAAATAAATAAATAAACAAGTGGTCTTGCAGTGTGGGCAGCAGATTTTAGGCTCTATGGGGGAAAGTTTGCAGAAAGGTCACGACACTGAAAGTGACAGGTCCCGCCCTGAGGCCCAAGGCGCTCTGAATAAACCCTGATTTATCTGGGAGCTGCAGCACAGGGCTGCAGGCTGGGACAGCAAAACCAAAAACTAAATAAAGCAGAAAATGCCCCGTCCACTTTAAATGCATGTTTGGATTTTCATTATAAACAGCTGATTTTTTTATTCTCATTGATTGTCTGCGATTTTTCTGAGAACCAAACCCTGAGAAGTTTGAAATATGAACCAAACCAGCTTCCTTCCATTTATCCTTATAAATAAATGAGGTTATTTTAAGAACAGGGCTGAAACATTAGATTTCCTCACAGAATAAAAAATATCTGCAGCCAAGAGGCAATTTAATTTGACCAATCTTAAAAATTAAAAACAATAATTACAGTAAAACACTAAATAGTCTTTATTATATTAATTGTCCTATCTATAAAAACAGAGGAGGGTTTTAAATAGAAACCATTTCAGAGAAATTATAATGCTTATTAATATATGTTCAAAAATAGTTTTCACATATTTAATAAACAAATCCTGTTCAATGTTTTCTCGTTGGACTTTAGAAAACTTCAGCTTTAGTTGAAAACTTTTTAAAGTTTCTGTGTTAAAGATTTTAAGTTGAGGTTTAGTTGGTTTAGCAGAGATGCTAATGCTAAAGTCAAAGCAGCTAAAGATGGATTTTAGTCACTTTTTATTTCATTTATTCTCTGATTTAAATAGAAGAAAACTGATGAAGTAATAGATAGAACTATGCTTAAAGGTTTGCATTTAGTTTAACTCAAGATTTTATTTCAACCAACCGGCTTAATATGTTGACAGTATTTGATCTTTTATTACATCAGCAGCAGTTTCTGTTCTTATGGAGGAGAAATGTTTGCATTAATGTTTAACATCAAACCAGTGAGCTTCCTAACTCTGAGTGAATTCATGCCTCTTATTTAAATACATTTTAAAGAGCTATTATTAATTATTTTCAGGGGTTTTTTTTTTTGCTCTTAATTTTGGCTAATTTCTCCAACTGATGATCAAAGTGAGTTATTTCCCCTGCTGAGGATCCAACAGAAAGAGGTTTCCTGAAACTGGTCTGAATTAATCCATCATAAAAAGTTACATCTCTTAATTTTTAGGTTTATTTGACATTGATCAGATTTTATTTGTTAATCTTTATTGTTTTTGCAAATGTTTTCTCCGTTTGATCACAGAAATCTGAAAGGAAAAACATGAACTAGAGATTTTAAATAAGGGAGGAGTGTCTGAATAGAGGATTTATTTAGAGTAGGAAATAAAATAATGATAATAATTGAATTTATTTTGTTGTGTTTTTTGTTGATAAGCTTTTCTCATTTATATTGAGAAAATTTTCATTTATAAAAAGGTATGTAAATTAGAATATGTATTTATGTAGGTTATATAAAACTAGTATATTAATTAAAATAACAGATTAATTGAAATGAACAGTTTATTTCTGACGGATCCGTTTATTTACTCTGTAAACCGTCTGATTCCTCATCATTGAAAAATTCCGCCAAACAAACAAACAAACAAAAAAGGTGATAAACAAGCGTTTCCACAAAGGCCCAATGAGAGAAATGACGGCTCATTAGTTTCAGTTGTTGGCCAGTAATGTGCAGCTTGCATGGAGAGGAGGCTGCAAGTGTAGCGGGGTTATCTGTGAATGGGCCCTTTATTGGAGGCGCGGAGCGGGGATTGGCCTTTTATGCGCCTCGCTATGGAAACGCGCTCAGCGGCACAAAAATGTCGACGCGAATAAAAGGAGCAGAAGCATCTGTTACACTTAGAAACTTAGACTATGGAGAGCGAAGCACCCCCCCCCCCCCCTCCCGCTTCATGCAGCACAGAAAAATTACTATTAAAAATAGGAAGAAACTATATAAACCTTTTCTTTTTACAAATTCTCCTGCACTAAAAATGCTTCATTGCTACATTTGATTTTTTTTTCAGTGTTCGCATTTTTATCCGTTTCCTAAATTCAATCCTCTGAAGCGTATCATTAATTATGACACGTCTGAAAATGTGGCTCCTTTATAGAAAACTGATTCCAGTTTACAACAAACCAAACAAAGAGGTTCTGCAGATCCAGGCCAGAGAAACAACCTTTTAAATCAAATATTCAACAACTTTCAGTCAAAATCAAAGATAAAAGAAATTACGCATCAGATTCTTCATCTTTTCCTCTTCCGGCCATCAGGCCGCACTTTGCTCCATCTTCTCCTCCGGCTGCTCCATCCTCTCCCTCCGGCTGCTCCATCCTCTCCCTCCGGCTGCTCCATCCTCTCCCTCCCCGCTCAGCCAGCTCACCTGCTCCGCCTGGCCTCCAGTCTGAGCCTCGGTCTCCTCCAGCAGCTCTCCTCTCCCTCCACCTTCTCTCCATCCGCTCTATAATGACTTTCTGCTGGCTGCTGCAGCCTTCTTTTTATTTCTGCTAAATGTATGAAAATGTATGCAAATGTAAATCAAGCTTAACCTGGGAGCTCCAGCAATATGTTTAATGGAATTTTAAAGCAATAAGGGGGACTGTGACGCTGCCTGCTGAAGGCAAATACAATCAATCCCACGCGCTGCATTAGCTGCAGAAAGTCCTGCATAATAACTGGAAGTAACTTCACCTCACTGCATTATTTCTGTAGTCCAACAGCAGCAGAGGCTTAATACATAATTCACAATTTTGATGGATTAGTTTTTAAATGTTCTGCTATAAATTATTCTAGAAATGAACAGTTGACTGAACTGAATGATGCATCATTTCTTCTAGACAGCTGAAAATATCTGAAAGGTGCGGCGGGAGTTTGTGGAACAACCTTTACCTGTAAGCTTCTAGTATTTTATCCACTTTTTCACACAGGAAAACTTTTCCGTTTAATCTTCCTAAAACAGCGATGAGTAGAAAATATCTGCATGAAAACATTTCCAAATATTCTTCACTGTCAGTTTACAGAGTTTTTCCTGTCGTTCCTTCATGTAAAGTTTAAAGCTTTGATGGTATTTTATTCCCTAACTCTGCTGAAGTTCCACAGAACAAATCTAGATTAATTCACTAATGTTTGGATTATGATGTTAAACTCAGAAGGAGTAAATGAACCAAAAACAGGCCAGGTGCTTTCTGGTTTTAAGAAGTTCAATAAAATCTAATTTTCTTCAGTTGTTATGTTTATTTTTTTCTCTTTCCAAAAGAAAGGATCAAAATAACATGTGAGCGAAAATGCGTGAAAACCCGCATCCCCTCCAACAGCGATCATTTCTTCCTCCTGCTCAGTTAATAATTAGAGGTAAGAAGAGCGCGCGCTCTGATTGTATTCCTCTAATTGAAGTGCTGGCACGTCTAAGAAATGCCTTTAATCCCTTTCTCCGCACGCGCTCAAGGGTGACGGGAGCAGCAATAAAGGCGCGCGTAAATCAGTTGGAAACTTTAATTAATAAACAGGAACCGCGCGCGCTGCAGTCAGAGCCAGTCCACCGCAGCTGGAACACACACTTCCGGTTCGGTGAACGTCGCTTCCATACAGAGTTCTGCTTCCAGAGGCGGAGGCGGCCATTGGCGGAGAGGGGCGGTCTGTCGGTGTGTGATTGGTGGAGGGAGCTGTCAGTCAGCGGCAGGCTGCAGAGGAGCTCCAGAGAGAGGGAGATGTCAGAGGCTGAGCTGCCTGCTCCCTTACTTCAGTAGCATTAGTGGGGTTCAGCAGCCAGCATGGCCACAGCTGCCTCCAGCCCCTACACCCTGCTCAGCCCCAGCTCCATGATCCACGCGGACAGCCAGGCCATGCAGCCCGGGAGCCCCTACAGAGGTCACCAGAAGCTGCTCCAGAGCGACTACCTGCAGAGCGTCCAGAGCAACGGGCATCCCCTGGCGCACCAGTGGGCGAGCAGCCTGTCTGAGGGCAGCCCCTGGTCCACCTCCATGGAGCAGCAGGACGTGAAGCCCGGCAGAGAGGACCTGCAGCTGGGCATCATCCATCACCGCTCCCCGCACGTCGCGCATCACTCCCCGCACCACAACAACCACGGGAGCCACCCCGCCGCCTGGGGGACCCCGGTGTCCCACAACTCCTCCATCAGCAGCGGGCAGCAGCTCAACATCTACTCCCAGACGGGCTTCAGCGTGAACGGCATGCTGGAGCACGGCGGCCTCACGCCTCCGGGCAACCCACAGGGCCAAGGGATGCACCCGGGCCTCGGAGACACGCTCAGCCCCGAGCACAGCGACCTGGGCGGACACCACTGCCACGACCACTCGGACGAGGAGACGCCGACCTCGGACGAGCTGGAGCACTTTGCCAAGCAGTTCAAACAGCGGAGGATCAAGCTGGGCTTTACGCAGGCGGACGTGGGTTTGGCCCTGGGCACGCTCTACGGGAACGTGTTTTCCCAAACCACCATCTGCAGGTTCGAGGCCCTGCAGCTGAGCTTTAAAAACATGTGCAAACTAAAGCCGCTGCTGAACAAGTGGCTGGAGGAGGCCGACTCCTCCACGGGAAGCTCCAGCAGCATAGACAAGATCGCAGCTCAGGGGAGGAAGAGGAAGAAGAGGACGTCCATCGAGGTGAGCGTAAAGGGCGTCCTGGAGACGCATTTCCTCAAGTGTCCCAAACCCTCAGCGCAGGAGATCACCTCCCTGGCAGACTCTCTGCAGCTGGAGAAGGAGGTGGTGCGCGTTTGGTTCTGCAACCGGAGGCAGAAGGAGAAGAGGATGACGCCGCCCGGGGAGCCCCCGCCGCCGCACGAGGGACCTTACTCACACAGCGGGAGCGCGGGGGACGCGTCCTCATGCCACGATCTCTGACCGCGCGAGGAGGAACCCGCTGACTGACTCTGGAGCGAAAGGACGCGCGCGCGCGCGCGGCGGGGGACGCGTGTCCCGCCGCAGACTCCGCAGCCTCCTCGCTTTGTTTTTTCTCCATCACGGATCTAAAAATGTGCCTGAATCTAAAGCTGCCAGCGCCTCATCAGCTGCAGGGGAACCGAAGCTGCTGAGGATCAAATAAACTCTTTATTCTCTGATTTGTTGCTATTTTTACAGGAAAATTGTTTTTTTTTTTATATATGCAAACATTATATCAGATGTAGTGAACCTGAAACATAAAAGCACTTGGAGGGTTTTTATTTTTATTTTATTATTTCCCTCATATTCATTTAGTCGTTATTTCTTTTTTTTTCGACCATAAAAACTGTGTTTGGAAGCAGGATGACGCTGGAAACCTGCCTCTCATTTTACTGTTTCCCTAAATTTTTATAATCTCCAATATTCCTGTTATACTCGGCTCAGTATTTTTCTCCGATATTGTACAGTTTTATACATATTTACCCTTTTCGAGTCATTAATTTAAGCAAAATCTGTTAGTTTATTTCTGCACTTAATTAGCAAAAATCCGCCTATTTTCAGTAAGATGGACCGTTTGGCGCTTTTATTCCAAAATTTCGATGTCAGCTCGAGTAATTATTTATTTTCAGTATAAAGCTTGTATTATGTTTTGAAATAAACAATGTATGTTGTAATAAACAATTTCCTGATACAATTGTTTACTGTCTAAAGCAGAATTGGATGTCTAAGGAATTATTAACACGATTATTTTTATTATTAATTAGTTATTTCTGCTGGTTGTGCCTCAGCGGCTCCGGACTCCAAAAATAATAATATAATAATAATAATACCCTTATTTAAATTTAAATATCTTATTTCTAAAGAAAAATCGACAATAAAAAATTAATTATATGCTTTGAACTTTTATCGTAAAACTTTTTAATAAATATTTTGATTATTTCAAGTAGCGAATAAATAGTTTCTGTATTTCAGGTTATTTAACTTAGATTGTTTTTAAAACTTTTCAAACATTTTTTTATTTTTATTTAACCTTTATTTTACCAGGAAGTCCCTTCAGATAAAATCTATTTTTCGAGGGAGACCAAATTTAATATCAATAATAATGGAAGCTTTAGAGTTTTCATTTTATGCGCTAATTGTAGCAATTTAATTATAGTTTGAAATCAGTGCAAAATTTTCTGAAATCAAAAATATTTTCAAAGGTTTGGAAAATAAGAATAAATATTATTATTATTTAAAATCAAATGGAGAAAAAATAATGTTTTTAATAGAACAAAAAAAATGAGCACCCACTAGATTTACACATTTAATATTAAAAATAATAATAAATAGAATCTTAAACAGAATATTTTAGGTTGGTTCTATTTATCAGCTCTAAGCTCCATATTTCTGTATCTTCCTGTAAAGCTGAATGAAGGGAATAAAGCAGAAATAGTTCAGTTAGATCAGACTTTGGTCACAGTTCTACAGGTGCTGGTCATAAAATTAGAATATCATGAAAAAGTAGATTGATTTCAGTAATTCCATTTAAAAAATGAAACTTGTATATTATATTCATACATTACATACAAACTCATATATTTCAGATGTTTATTTTGTTTAATTTTGATGATTACAAATGACAACAAATGAAAATCTCAAATTCATCATATCAGAAAATTAGAATATTACTGAAGACCAATAAAAACAAAGGATTTATAGAAATGTTGGCCAACTGAAAAGTATGAACATGAAAAGTATGAGCATGTACAGCACTCAGTATTTAGTTGGGCCTCCTTTGGCCTGTATTACTGCAGCAATGCGGCGTGGCATGGAGTCGATCAGTCTGTGGCACTGCTCAGGTGTTATGATAGCCCAGGTTGCTCTAATAGTGGCTTTTAGCTCTTCTGAATTGTTGGGTCTGGTGTATTGCATCTTCTTCTTCACAATACCCCATAGATTTTCTATGGGGTTAAGGTCAGGAGAGTTTGCTGGCCAATTAAGAACAGGGATACCATGGTCCTTCAACCAGGTACTGGTAGCTTTGGCACTGTGTGCAGGTGCCAAGTCCTGTTGGAAAATGAAATCTGCATCTCCAAAAAGTTGGTCAGCTGCAGGAAGCATGAAGTGCTCTAAAACTTCCTGGTATGTGGCTGCGTTGACCCTGGACCTCAGAAAACACAATGGACCAACACCAGCAGATGACATGGCACCCCAAACCATCACTGACTGTGGAAACTTTACACTGGACTTCAAGCAACGTGGATGAAGTGCCTCTCTTCTTTTCCTCCAGACTCTGGGACCTTGATTTCCAAAGGAAATGCAAAATTTACTTTCATCAGAGAACATGACTTTGGACCACTCACCAGCAGTCCAGTCCTGTTTCTCTTTAGCCCAGGCAAGACGCTTCTGACGCTGTCTGTGGTTCAAGAGTGGCTTGACACAAGGAATGCGACAGCAGAAACCCATGTCTTTCATACGTCTGTGTGTGGTGGTTCTTGAAGCACTCACTCCAGCTGCAGTCCACTCTTTGTGAATCTCCCCCACATTTTTGAATGGGTTTTGTTTCACAATCCTCTCCAGGGTGCGGTTATCTCTCTTGCTTGTACACTTTTTTCGACCACATCTTTTCCTTCCCTTCGCCTCTCTATTAATGTGCTTGGACACTGAGCTCTGTGAACAGCCAGCCTCTTTAGCGATGACCTTTTGTGTCTTGCCCTCCTTGTGCAAGGTGTCGATGGTCGTCTTTTGGACAACTGTCAAGTCAGCAGTCTTCCCCATGATTGTGTAGCCTATAGAACTAGACTGAAAGACCATTTAAAGGCTTTTGCAGGTGGTTTGAGTTAATTAGCTGATTAGAGTGTGGCACCAGGGGCCATCAATTTTGAACCTTTTCACAATATTCTAATTTTCTGATATGATGAATTTGAGATTTTCATTTGTTGTCATTTGTAATCATCAAAATTAAACAAAATAAACATCTGAAATATATGAGTTTGTATGTAATGTATGAATATAATATACAAGTTTCACTTTTTAAATGGAATTACTGAAATCAATCTACTTTTTCATGATATTCTAATTTTATGACCAGCACCTGTATCTATTGCTGCTCCTCAATCAGACATGCGAGATTTATTCACCAGGCTGCTGAGTCTGACAGCAGAAACACAATCACCCCCCCCCCACACACACACACACACACACACACACACGTACCCCCCCCCCCCCCCCCCATCAGGAGCAGACGCATCTCATTTCAAAGACTACAGCTGTGTTTATAAGTGGCCGTTCAGAGGTGAAACTGACAGAATCTACATAAATAGATAAATAAACATAGATGCTGCTAAAAATAATTGAAGGATGGGTTGGGAAGAAGTCGACCCGTGGATGCAGGACTCTTTAAATCATTCCAAAATAGATCCGGAAGAGGAGAAGGAGAGGAGGGAAGGCGGAAGGGTGCTAGGCATTGCCTTGAAATGCAGAGCCTGACTGGAATACTAATGTGTCTGAATTTATGCATCTCCTCAGTCTGCAGCCCTGAGAGAGGGGGGTGGGGGAGACGCAGAGAGAGGGTGTGAGGGTGGAGGTGAAAGAGGGCGGTTATGTAGAAGAAGAGAAAAGTAAAAGCATGGCTGATTGATTCCATCCATCTGTTTTAGTTTGAATTAATCCAGGATTTGTCAGGCTGGAAGAAGAGAGAGGAAAACCAAAACAAGCTGACCCTGGAAGGCAGAGGAGCAGCCAAGGTCCAGGGCAGCACTGCAGTAGCCTTCAGCCTCTTCCTTCTCCAACACAGCCTGGCTCAGCTGAAAGAGAGAAAAAAAACCAACCATCAGAACAATGGGTTTAAAAAGCAACCAGCTCTCCATGTGAATCACTCACCAGAGGAAAAATGATTGACTGGAAGAACCGTGAGGAAAAGAAGAACAGGTGAAAGCATGAAACCTTCAGCTCATTATCTGCTTTCTTGGAGTTCTATGACTCAGCTCTGCTCTCCAGCTGATAATTGAGCCTGAATCTGATGTTCAGGAAGGACAGCAGCATTAGAGAGGCGGAGCTGTTTAAACTCAATCCTGCATCTTATTGGAGCATCTAGTTTACTAAGCAGAGCTGCTACCTGCTGAAAACTTTTCTTTTTTCCAATAAATGTCTGATCTGAGCTAAAGAGACGCAGAAACATCAACAGGGAGCCAACAGAAAGTAATGTTTACAGTAAAACTAGGAGGTCAAAGGAAGGACAACTACATCCAGCTTCTATTGAATTAGAGGCAAATCACAGAGTCTGCTTTCTGAGAGTCAGCTGGGAGCTTCTAAACTCTTCAACCAGTCATTAAACATTTTCTATAAAACTAATAAATCCATTTTCATATCAGCTTCTCCTATTAGGTCATGATAACCAGCCATTATATCTCTGAAAGCAGCAGTCTGGGTTAGTTTGGTTTCCTTCTGTTTTAGTGCAAAGTATAAGAGGTATTAAAAATAATTAAAGAAATAAATATATTAGATAAATAAATATAATTAATTGATTTAAAAGATTGTTTACATAGGGTCTGATTGTTAAGATTCAAAGGATGGTTTCTGCAGCATTCCGTGGCCACCAGGGGGCTCCCATGAGCTAAAATAAAACCTTTATATTATTAGTTTCCTTATTCCAGATTGTGTGTTTTGTTTTCTTCCAAAGTTTTCAAAATAATTCATTTCAAAGATTATAATTCCAGGAGACGCATATTGGGATTTATTGATTAATAAATGATATCAATCAGGGTCTTCTCCATAGTTTGATTTGGTTCTGCAACATTGAACATAAAACTGTTTGTTTTTTCCCTTTAAATAACAGAGGTAAAAAAAAATCAATTTATATGAAATTAAAGAAAAATAAGAAGTTTAACTAATTCCAGTGTTAAATCATTCAGGCATTAGAGAATAAAACAGACATGTTATTTTAAATGAAAAAACTCCTCATGTCTGGAAAAGCTCAGCTGTTAAACGTCCAACAACATGAACTCTCCAAACCTAAAAATTACAGCTTTTCCTTTCAGCTCAGACAGTAAAACCTTTATGGGGAAGAAATCCTTGTTTTTCTACATTTAACTGAGGTCTAATATGACGCCTTAATTCAATTAAGATTCATGTATTCGTTATAAATCACCTGCTTAGAGTGCATGGACATGTGGTTCTAGTTGAGACTTTCACACTTGTTGCTAAGCGTGATGAATTCACTTTGTCTGCAAATCCTCATCCTGATTTTCTCTCTAAATGTTCAGAGAATAAAATCAGCTTCATGCTGAATAAAACCAAACTTGGAAAGTGAGCCGAGGGCAGAGGAGCTGGTTTGGTATTTCTAATGCATCAGCAGAGACTTGGCTCTGCAGCAAGTGCTGCTGAAAGACAGGAGAGGAAGCCGTGTGTGTGGGGGGGGGGGTTACCTCACGTCCTCAGTTTGCATCGTTTGATGAGGCAAAGCAGCTTTAGGGTCAGAGAAATAGACACAGATCACAGTAAAAATAAAAGGGAAACCAGTTGGAAAGCTGAGATTCTCAACCACCGAGTTCACTTTATGACAGCGAGCATCAAAGCATAACTTTATCACTGCTGTCCAGAAAACACCTTTTATTTTCCAGAATAAAACTTTGAGTCATGTTTGAACTGATGCAGCTCGCGCTGTCTTACTCACCCCATTTATATACTCAGAAACTGGAAGCTGTTAGATTTCAGAT